CAGGCTGTTATCTCATCCAGGGAGATAGGAAGTATGGACAGGAAGTCCAAAGGGAGGGGGAAGAGAGGGCCCGAATGGGAAGCCCAGTGTAAACAGACTCAGCTTTTAATCATCCCAGCTCACGTTCGGAACTGGTCATGCTTTGATGTAGTCCCTCAGCGGCCGCTCCGCCCTCCCATCCCTCGTTCCCAAACGGCTGCGCCAAGGGCGCGGGGTGAGGGCACCGTGGCGATAGCGGCCCCGGACAGCCAGGGGGACTCGGTGAGTGAGAGAGAGAGGGGAAGAGGGAGGTGAGGGGGAAACATCCAGTGCCGTTTAGGAAACTGGGAAGAGGGAGCGAGGAATGTGAAGTGGTGCAGAGTTAAGTGGTGGCCTGCCTTAATTATAGCAGATGAATCTGAGGGAGCTCTCATGGGGGCAACATGGCATAAGGAACAAAGAGCCAAAAATGCCACAGTGAGAAGGGGAAATAGAAAGTCAAGATGGTTTCAAGTGGAAATAGGTGGAGCTTTAATGATGCTCTGTAATTGGGCTCCGTGCCTGTTAAGGAGGATAAAGTCCATCTCCTTGTCCCCGCAGAGACCCAAAGAAAAGCTCCGAGCGTTATCTCCCAAGTTGTGGGATCTCTCCTCTCATCGCCGAGCTCCATTTTGGAAAGGAGACGGCGAGAGAGAGAGTAAAAGAGAGAAAGAGGGTGAGACAGAGAGAGGAATTCCTCTGCACTAGTTTGTCCAAATAGTGCTGGCCAGAACCCAGCCAGTGTTCCGATGAACGTGTCCATTCAGCGGACAGGGCACACTTCCAGGAAGACCACAGTTTAAAAGATCAGAGGGAGTTGCGTACCAAAGTGAAGTCGCATGACTTGGATGTGCTGAAGAAAGCTGTGAACTTCCTCTGTCCCCCGGTGGTGCATGTTTGGCCCCCTCATGTTAGCCAGCATGATAACGGGGGCAGTGTTGTGTAAAATCCACTCTTCTTGAGCTTCGCATCATGTTAGAATGTATTTCCCCTCATCAAAATCATACCTGAAGCGTTGCTTTGATTCGTCCAAGCATGTTTGACAAACCGTTTCATGTCTGTGGCAACCATTGAGCTGTGCAAAACGCCCCTGGTGGACCCGGCACCACGTTTGAGACGGCGCGCCTCCTCGGAGCGACTGCCCCACTCGGCTCCTTCAGCTAGTCAACACCTGGTGGGACTACACATCAGCGCAACGTTGGTACAAATGTTTGTAAGGGTTAACAGAGGAGCAATGGTGTGATGCTTTCCTGCAGGTGAGGTTTCATAAGACTCAATTTCAAGATGTTAAATCACGCAGTTAATTCTCTTACATTTGATATATATTTAGCATTTTTGTAACGACTGAAATTGTGCTATAATCAAGTGTTCGGAAAATTCATAATGCTGCCATTTAACGTGTTTAAAGGAAATGCCACAGCAGAAAGCTAACTACTGCAAAAGATAACCTATTAACCATCCTACTTATGGCTATGATATGTTGGAAACCCACTCAAAATTTGAGATGTCAAATCAGCTGGTTTGATTGACCTGGCTGGTGACCGTCCGGTAGGAAAGTCAAAATGACATCAGCGCCACACTTAACCGCTAACAGGCCGTGGTGAGAATAACACTCTGTGTGTGTGTGCAGTCACTGAGTGACGATGACCTAAGTTTAGCTGTTACGTGTTTTAAACCTGAAGTCTGAGGAAGCACAGAGATGTGCCTAGCTGTTTCAAAAGAAACTCTTTTTCTATGACAGCTACAGACCATTCAGGCTGTGAAAGAGCAAGAGAAAGCAAGACTTTAAAAAAGCGCAGCAAAAATGCTCCGTTGTACTTGTGTTTAAAGTTGAAATCTCTCTCCGTCATTGTTCCTTTTGAAACTTTCACATTCCCCACAAAAGTTACACTGAGGCTGTCATCCCGGTAATGCTAGCCAATGCTAACCAGGCTAATTGCTAACTGACGTCAAAGCTCTCCTTATTGTCATTATTTCGTTTTGAAATTATTGTTTTACATTGACTGTTCCCTTTCTCCGTTGTTTTATACGATACATTTGCTACTAATAGAAATAATTAATAACAATCACGACACAATTCTTGCTGTTCTAATATCGACTTATAGTTCCTAAACAACAACTCGGCATTAGCTCAAAGATCAGAGTTTTACAATTGAACCCAAAACTCAGATCTGAACCTCTCCAGCAAAAACACACCTGCTGAATATTTATACTCATGTCTTTGATCAGATATGGAACCCATGACGGTTAATTACACACTGATGTGGTTAATGCCGAAGACAGATTACAAGTGAGAATCAAAACACGCAGAGAATTTCTTCATAAAACTTTCAAACCTTCATCCGCCTTATCCACTGAATGACAAGAACATAAAGTGGGTACATAAAGCTGCCAGCAGCGGCAGAAAAAAAAAAAGACCTGTTGAAACAGGTCGGCGTGCTAACAAAAAGCATCCTGCAGCATAACATCATTTCTGCGCACCGAGAACAGTTTTCAGAAGAAATGGTCTGAAATTGATGACCTCACTACGCCTGCATGGTTCGGTAGGGAGGGAAACGAAGGGTTTATGCCACAGGTACTCAGAGTGTGGCAGAGATCAGAATGGTTATCTTAAAGCTGGAAACTTCTTTTACTTGTGTGTCAAAATGTGAACCGCTTAAACCTGAATATCCTTAAGAAAAAACAAAAAGATCCATCCCCAAAACTCTGCAAGGTTTGGTGGGGTGAAGAAAAAAGTGGAAAAAATAAATAAATAAATAAATAAATAAAATGAAGTAAGCTGGAAATCCCAGAGAGCTGGAAGCGCCTTTGATCCGAGCAGCGCCGTGATGTGCATCCGTAACGTGTTTTCAACGCCTCACGCAGACACGGCAAAGTCAGATGAGCTTTACCAGGAGAGGGAATAACAGGGGAGGTTTTTTAACAGTGCCCGATGCAGGGCTTTCTCTGCGACGCCGCGTGAAGCCTCATCGATTACAGCAAACTGAAGCATCTGGCGAAACGTTCACAAGTAGCCCCACACCTGTAGAGCGAGGAGAGACGAGATCTTACGGATCTGTCGTCCCGTTCCTTTAGAGACGGTAAATAAATTCACACAGGCCGGCTTTACAGCTTAATCCGCTCTTGAATGCTAAATATGCAAACTGAATAGGCCGCATGCTTCATATTTTCAAGGCTAATATTGCTTCTTTTTTTTTGTCAAAAAGGAGGAAAAAAACAAAGAAAGGGCATTCATTGGTCTCGACACGATTAGCTGCTTTCTGAAAGCCCTGTGCCACACCTTGATATTGAATGCATCAGACGAACATCAGACTCCAAACACAGCTGATGCGAAAACAAAGCAAGCACGTTGGAGAAGATGCACGACCTACAACAGTTGGCAACCGCAGCCGACATGTTTCTTCCATCATCAAAACAAACCGAGTGTAATAAGATGTTGGCTCTGGTGAAGGAATTCTGATCGTCTGTAGGAAGTCGGGATGTGATTAAGCAGCTCAGAGACACCGTGATCCGCAATCCAGTCGCACGCAGCTCCAGTCAGATGTTTACGAAAACTCGTCATCCATGAATCTAATATGAATCGTGGCGTTTCGATTATGTATTTGAGCTGCTCTTTTTTTTTTTTTTTTTTAAATCACCGAGCTGCTGGCAAAAAAAATCTGCTGGAATATTGGACAGCTGTTCTGTTCAAAAATGGTATAGCTCATTGAACTCATTGAGACATTTAGATCCTAAATGTTTCAATATGTGTAACTTGACGCTAAACCAGAAGTTCAATGATTGCAATAAATTTCAAAGTCAAGTTTTATTTTTATGTGCGTTTGGCATCATTTTCCTGTTGCAGCACCGAAACGGGAAAACAAAACTCAAACGATGGACCGGAGAAGAATAGAAGGTTTTCTTTCCTCCTGTCGTTTGTGCAATGCAGAAGTAGCACCAGCAGTGAAAGAGACCCTCAACATGATGCTGCCACTGCCGTGCTTGCTATTTGGTACCTTGTTTGTCGTCTGAGAGTTCAATCTGTTTTTCTTCTAAATATGATTTTATTTTTCCTTCAAAAAGCATTTGGCTTGTTCATGCAGGCCGCTCCAAACTGTCGGTTCTTTGAGAAGCCAGGCGCCTTTCTGTTTTAGTCGCTGTGGACATCGGTGCCTCGTCAGGACCTCATAGTTCCTGATAGCTTCTGAATATTTCTTAAAAATAGAATTAAAAAAAAAAACACACACACAAAACACCCTTTCAACTGGGGGGATGCTTTCTGTTAAACGGTGTATCAACAAGATGGTAATCCCTCACATAACTAATTTTGGAAGGTATAGCTGTAAGATTATTTCAAATGCCAGGTAGCAAAGCAAAGCCATTTCTGGTAATAATCCAGAATCATGCCAGGATCTTGATGACATCTTCAACATGTGTTGGGAGACTCATCGTAATATTAGGGGGCTGTATGATAATATTCTACATGAAATGAGTAGCCTTGAACCTGGGTCGTATTAAAATTAAACATCCTTTTTAAGATCCTTTTGGAAAAAGTACAGTTCAAATGCATATTCGAAGTTAATTTGACGCTTGACTGTAAACTGCAGCTATAAAAACCGGCAGAGGTGTGAAATTCATTATCAGACAGTTGATGACGTGTAAACTGATAGAAACAGGTGGAGTTGGGGAGGAAATAAATCCTGTCTCAATGAGGTGAAAGGCATGCTATGGTGGAATCACAATATCCATATTCAATAAACGTGGTTCAGATGGACTTCCCCTCATGTTTTTTTCCAGACATGACTTATTTCTCAAAAAGTACTTTTGAACATCCCTGGTCTGCATTATTAAGGCAGCGGTTGCAATTCGTGGATTTGCAATAAAATGCACCTTCGCACCATTTTGCAAGCTTGCATAAACAAACAAACAGCATCATCAAGCGCAGAGGCGTGATTGGATAAAAAGGTCAGGTCTTGCCGAGTGGCCGGTGCGTCACTCCTTACCTGCTTCAGCTTCCCTTGCGCGTTGCCCGCACTTCCTCCCACGAACTCCCCTTTCAGAACGATGGGCTTCCCCGTGGGATCCTTCACCAGAGTCACGTTGATGACAGCTCGGAGTTCCGACTCCATGCTCGGCTGGCCCAGCACCACCTGCAGGGCCGCCATGAGCAGCCACGGCCAGAGCCCGGCGAGGCGCCGCAGAGGGACGGTCATGGCCTCGGCTGGCGCGGCGGTGCCCGGCCGCACATCGTTGGACTTTGTCAGAAATATCAACACGAACAGGTCCCACTTCTTCTTCTTCTTAGTTTATTTATTTCTACCTCAGTAAACTACCTGCTGAAGAAATGAGCTATAATCCAAACTGTTAGTGATGAAGGGCTTCCATCAGAATTCCATAAACTTCCATTCAGCATCTGGGTTAAAATACACACACACATGAAACACTGCAGGTTACGGGAGAGAACGTAAGCAGGCCTTAAATGAACCTGCGTCCAGTGTTTATTAAAGTGGAAAGGTGGAAACTCCAATGCAGCATGAAGGAACCTGAATGGTGCACTGATTTCTCCCTCTCAAAAAAAAAAAAAAAAAAAAAAAAACGCCGCTCCGCATCACAAACCCTCAGCTCTCCTCGCTCGCAGGTTGTTTTCCTCAGAGATGAGCTGGCGTTAGTTACCCCCTCCCTCCCCCCGAGCCCCCGGTCTCCACTTGGCTCAAATCCCGGTCATGTATCCGACTTGCGCTTTATGTTGCAGTAGGACGTAATTCCGCCGCGTCTTTCGGTCACATCGTGCGAGCGACCGCGAGCTGGGTGGAAAAGTGTCAGAAGACGCGAGCCCGTCCCGTGGGCGCCGCATTTTCTGGATAAATCCACGGAAAACGCTCGAGAGTCACGGCTTGAACTTCAAAGGCTGGGACACAGGTTGCCGCCGGAGAGCTGGGAGCCATGCTGGCGGATAAAACCCGACGCCGAAAAGTTGTGCAATGTGCTTCGCGGCCGGGGAAGCAAAAAAAAAAAAAAAAAAAAAAAAAAAAGAGAAAAAAAAAAAAGGAAAAAAAGAGAAAAAAGAAAAGGAAAAAAAAGAAGTAAATCCTCGAAGGAGCTGCTCGTCTGCGCTCTCTCGGCTCTATCTAATTATTAACCGGAACAAACGGACAGTTTTCTCGCGGAGCTCAGAACTTTGTAACTAAACTGATTGAAACGCCGAAGCGGCTTCTAAACCCTAACCTGCCGCTCACTGACGTCCTGCAGTCGCTCCTCAATTAAACGAGAAGGAGGCAGCCCCGACTTCAGAGAGCCTCCGCGGCATATTGAGAAATGAGAACCGACCCTCCTGAGAGCACGCAGGGGGGGAAATGAATCGCTCATCAGAATTACAGGCGAGTAAACCGGGGAAAAACACCCCGAAACGCGTGAAGGAGTAGTAGTCCAGCCTCCATGTAGTCCCCACTGCGCGTGGTTAGGGTCCTGGGACAGAGCGCACAGCTATGACACCGTCTCAAAAGTTTACCTCCCGGACTCTCTGTCGCTCCCGTGGGATCTCATTGTCACTCTACCTGCTCGCAGGCTTGCTGCCTTCACGTGAAAGCGTCAACAGAAATATTTTATATTTTTTTGGGTCAAAACTTAACCATAGCAGAAAAACAAAACAAAAAAAACGTAGCAATTAATGACAAATAAATACAAATTGATTTTGAATCGTCTGAAGAGATTACGCGTAATTAATCATTTGTCGTTATTGTAACGCTCTAAAATTAGCGACATTTTCTGCAACGTCATACTTATTTTTACAACCCGAGCAACCATCGAGCAGTACACGTTTACATACTTGGGCGAACCCCATCAAAACGATGTGAAAATGTTCAATTTATAGATCTAGTTTAAAAAAATAAATCAGTTCATTGACTTTCAATTTACAAATTACACGTGAAGGCGGCATGGAGACAAGCTGAGGGTGGAGCTGCCGTCAAAACTAATCAAAAACAGCTAAAGGGCTCCCCCTAGTGTCCTTATGTACATTTCAGCCGCACCAACAAATTCCTCGTAAATAAACCAGGCAGCTGGAAAGTGTAGTCTGTTTTAATAAGAATGTTTTGCAGTGTGCTTTAAAAATCGTGACATTGACAGGTTTTAAAGGTGCTTTAGACAAGAAATAAAATGAAAAATAAAAGCAATTTGTAATACAAAATATTCATATTTTTACCAAACATTTTTTCTGACGTAAAAAACAAACAAACAAAAAAAAAAACAGCAAAAAAAAAAAAAAAAAAAAAAAAAAACTCACTAAGAAATGTAATTGAACAGAGGTTCTGTTTTCCGCTATGACACACACCACTGCTTTGAGTTAAAGTAGCGGAGTTGTACAACATTACAATTCATAAGAATCCTTTCCAAAGTCTTCATATCAAATTACAGTCCTTAAAAACATGCATTCCTTTTGATGTAAAATTTCAAATGGTTCAACACAAACACACTACAGTTGAAATTATTCTAGTTACAGCGAAAAGCACAACTGCACAATCACAAAAGAAACTAAAGAGAAAAGATGTATATGAAAACAACATTTTTTTTGTTTACACAGAAAGAAATCATCAAAGTGGAGCCTGAAGTCGCACTGTGAATTCATTGCGGATACTTCTTGTCGCGAGCTGAATCAATCAGTGAGCTGAAATCTAAAGGGGAGACGTAACCGCCTGTCACTGACTCTAAATAATCATGCAACCTCATTCTTTCCACTGCGTTTCCTCTAAATGTGCTCCTGCCGTGCCTTACCTAAGAAGTCCCTGTGCTGTCCTGCTCATCCTAATCCTGAACCGAGTTGCTAACCTCGACATTTACGAGCTCAGCATCATTGTCTTGATCAAAGTGAACCTTGCCGAGACACAGAAGAAGATGACAAAAAAAATAAACCAAAACAAAACAAACAAACAAAAAAAAAACAATAAATAGAATTTACTCATTCCTGGATTTATTATATGTAAACAGGTATGATGGTAAACAAGTTTGAAGCATTCCGCTCTGTACAAGAAAAAGAAATCCAACTTGGTGAAAAATGACTCCCAGTTGTAAAAAATACAAGGTTGTGAAAACTAAAAGAAGACCGTCCATCGTGTCCTCTTTTAGGAGGACACGATGGACGGTCCAAATAACCTTAACATTTTGTTAAGGTTATTTGGAAGCTGCAGCGAAAGGCATAATGGCCAAAACATTAGGCAGAATAGTTACAAAAGCACTACTCTGTTTCCCAGTGGGTAATCTTATTTTTTAATAACAATACTGTCTATGCAATATTCAGTGAGTTAAATGGTTTTTTCCCAAAGAATAAATGAACTTCACTGTACTGTTCTGCTTAAAAAATATGTTAAATATTTAGCTTTAGATTTTTGATCCCACAAAATATTACTAAGTGTTTTACTGATTTCTAGTGCAAATATTCCAGTACACTTAAAATAAGACAAAATTAACGTACCGGTAACTTTTTAGCAAGATTTATTGGCTTGTTTCAAGTCAATGATTTCTTAATATTGATTAAGAAATTGGAAAATGATTTCACTTATAACAAGACATTTTTCTCATATGTGAAAAAGTGGATCTAGGACTTTTTTTCATCAAGACTTATTATTATGTTATTATTATTATTATATATTATTATTATTATTATATTATTATTATGATTATTATATAATTATTGACTTACAACAAGCTTCTACTCATTACCAAAAGGTTACTTGTAAATACATTTTGTCTTATTTCAAATGTACTGAGATATTTTGCACTAGAAACTACAGCAAAAATACTTTCTAAGACTTTGTGTTTTTGCAGCGTGTTAATTATACACAAAGCATAAAGACATACATTAATAATGAAGATAATTATCTGCTAGTCTGAACAAAGCCTGCAAATAACAGACAACATTCTTCAAAAGCAAATACTAACTCCAGTGAAGATGTGTTTGGCACAAAGACTCACCTCATATATAACATCGTCAGCCATTTGCTCCGGTACTGAAACCACGAGCTCCTCCTCCTCCTTTTTAACGACAGGAGCTCTGCTGCTTTTACACGCGACGGCATCCCTGGGGTCAGAGGAGGGCTGTGGCACGGAGACGGGTTTCTCCGCGCTCTCCACTTTCACCAGACAGGCACTGGGTGAAGTTTGCATCACCTCATCTGCAATCTGGAAAACTACATCTAAGTTGACTTCAGGCTTTTTCACTTCCTGGCTTTCGGAAGTTTGTAAGTTGCGGTTGGGGTCGAACACGGTCACGGGACCTTCAGCCTAGACGAGTAAAAAAACAAAACAAAACAAAACCAAAAAAAACGATTCAACATCGATTATGTTTTAAAAAAACAAGTCGATGATGAAAACATGAAAAAAAATCATCCACTCTTATTCACCGACCTGGTAAAAACGTCTGGGAGGAAACTGGAGGCCTGTTATGTTCGGTGAGACGAGGTTCGGGTGGAAGCAAGGGCAAACTTCAAACAGGAAAAGACATTAAATTGTAGCTTCAAGTCAGGACTCTGAGCTCCCGTGTGACTGCTTCTGCATTTCCTCGCAAAAATATATTCATATCACATGAACCTTTTTAGCAGTTTCGCTCATTGTGACCACAAATGTCAACGTAACGTACTGCCACACAATGTGATAGATCAATACTTAACAGAATGTGGCTTTCAAGCTTCTTTTTTTGCGCACATTTTAATCTATTTGCAAACAGGTGCATGCCGAAAGTTCATAATTAAAATTAAAAAAAATCTGGAAGAAAACATACTAGAGATTGCACAAAAATTGAGACTGATGTGTAGGTTCATCTTTCAGAAAAGCAATATGTCCGCTGGAACCAGGGTGGCAGTGGACTCAGTTTGATCGCAGGAAAAACAAGTTTTAAAATGACCCAAAACCCAGACTTAAATCCAAGTAAGAATATGGAGAAAGACATAAATACTCTATTAAATATCATCAAGATTGAGCCATACTGCAAAGAAAATTGAGGGGGGAAACAATTTGCTACATGTGAAAGATGATGCAGAGGCACCGACTTGAGCTGTATTTGCAGAAAAAGGTGGTTCTTTTTTTTGAAGTGGCAATGATATTTCAAAACATACTGATCTAAAAACCGGGTAACCTTCAAGTAACTTCTCAACAACTACTTGTTGAAAAGTAGATGTTTGATTTGTCAACACACACTAGTACAACCTTGGCCTCACCTGTGGGATAGTAGCCAGCTTGATACTGGGGATTCCGAGGACTAAAACTATTGAAATGTGTTTCTCGGTTGCTCATACGAGGTAGGAAGCCCTGCTGAACATGCAGCGTTTTGGAGTTTGAGGACCCTCCAGTGTAAGGGTGCCTCAAAGGAATCGGCCCGTCTTTCGCCAGGGGCAGAGTGGTAGGGGAGAGAGCTGCTCCAGTTACCCTGCGCAGGTACCGTGGTGGCACTGGGGTTCCACTCTGAGGTCTCATAGTCTGGGATTTATGGGGATGGTACGGATGAGCTGGCGACTGGTTTGAGGGTCGCGAAGGCAAGAAATATCCTGGACCAAACACATATGGACATGGACAAAGTTTCGATTACTTTTGCTCATTCTGGTCAGCATTAACAAACAAGGAGCTCATAAGATCTCACTTACTTCCTTTTAGGACATTGTCTTTGCCGTCTGTGCTGAAACCTAGTCGCTGGTACCGGTTGGGGTTGGGGAGCCGGGAGCTGATGTCCTGTCCGGCTTTCAGTTTGGCTTTGTTGTCCACAGTGAGCCTGACGAGGTTCTCCAGAAGCTGAGGGCAGCTGCGCTGAAAGTTCGGGTTGTGAAAATGGTGATACAGCCTGTTGCCCGCTTCTTCTTCGTGGTCGGCGGGCAGATCGACCTTCTTGAATCCGTACAGGTTGAGCTGGCGGACGAAGCTCGAGAAGTTGGTGGTCTTGAAGGTGTCGGTGCTGCTGAAGGTCCTGGAGGTCGGGGACAAGATCTGGGCCTCGAAGAGCTGCTGGTCGATGACGATCACCTGGCCGCGGCTGTCCCAGCGGATGGCTCCGTCCGCCGGGTTGTTCACCAAACGCCAAAGCTTGGCGGGGAAAATGTTGGGGTTGATGTTGCCGGGGTTGAAAATGTTAGCGTCATCCATGCTTTCATCTGTGTAGCTGGAGCGGGCGGTGTTAAGTGGCGGGGCTTCTTCTGGGGGAAAAAAAAAAAAAGCAACGGACGTAATGGGGGGGCTAACTTAGCCGTTGTAACCACTTAGCTGATGGTCTCGGTTCTCTGCGACCAGGAGTCAGAAAAGCCCAAATTCAGTGTCTAAAAATGAAACAACGCTAATTGTCGCAGACGACAATAATGTCGTGAGTGGAAACTAAGGAAAATTTCAGAAAATTGCAAGAACGTTCAGCAATATTCGAGCATTGCTGTTAGCAGTTATGAAACGTTGGCTAGCTTTAGCAAAGGCATCGCCGAAAGCCTTTTAAACTAAACCAAACCTGTTTGTGACGTCATTCAGGACTGCCTAATAAAGGTCAAATATATATATTTTGAAACATTTAGTGCTAGAATAAACCAAGACTCGGTTGTAAACATACCTTGGGTCACTGTGGCTCAAACTGTTGGGAATTCCCAAGATCGTTGGAGCTGTTGGAGGTCCGTTTCCACGGCAACCCCGTCCGAGCTCCAACTGTCTCCATCAGATCAAAATTCAGTTCAAGTGAGAAATACTTTGGTTGAGTCAAAAGGGAGGATTTGAATGTCGCTGTCAACTCTTGTAGCGCTCTGTGCCGCAGCACATCTGGAGACACTTCTGACTGAAGCTTCTGGCTGTTGTTGCACGACAGCCTGAAAGAGGAGGCAGGGGGTTGGACAAAATTGATGTAAACCATTTCAAATGGTTTCAATTTGATATCATGCCATGTGAAGCAATTATGGAACAGAAATTACAGTCACTGTCTGACTCTGAAACACATTGTTACACATAGGGTGCAGCAAAATCCTTTTGAGATATGCATCTTACCTAATTAGAAAAATCACAAACATTTAAAATTGAATAAAAGTGAAACTCACTACGCATTTATATTCACACCTGTAATCTCAACTGCTGTATCTCAGAAAATTCAAACATGACACCAGCCAAATCAAAAATTATTTTTAGAAAAACATCTTGATGGTGAAGCCTTACGTCCTGCACAAATGACAATTTGAGTGGAAGGAAGAAGTGTGCACTTGCAACGAGAATAACCACAGTCTTGAAGGAATTGTGAACAAAAGCCAATTTATTAATTAAGAGTTACATTGCATAGGCTGAAGCAGACTCGGGGGGAGTCTGCTTTGTATGGTGACATCTTTCGAAGTCACCATACAAAGATGGATACTCAGGCTTTAAGGTGTGCATTCTATTAATCGGAGACAGCCCAGGGGACGAAACCGTCTCTGTGAAGACTGGTTTTTGCAGGCAATGCTCCTTGCCACCAGTCTAAAAGCAAAAGCCTATAAGCAGTCTTGGTCCAGGATGTGTTGAGTCTGCATTAAAAAAGAACCACCAATGTGTCATTTGCAAAATTCTCAGTTTCTCATATGGAGGTGCAGTCATTTGTGTACAGAGAGAAGAGGGTTGGCCAGAAGACACACCGCTGGGGTATTGTCAAGAGAAAGATGAGAACCTTCCAAACAATGCAAATAACCTGAATGTCACCAACTAAGCAACCTGGACTTCCTCAACATCTTCACAGGCTTATCGCCTCTGTACCACACCACTTATATGCAGTAATTCATGCAACTTAAAAGGTTTCTAAAAATAAAATATTCTGTATTTCAATTTTCAGAAAAAAAAAAGAATTATTGTAAAATGAATGCTGAATTTTACTGGCAGGGTTTAAATTCGTTGTCTTTCAGCAGCAGAAGAATAGATTATTTACACATCCGGAAACATTGCAACCCATAGTCCTGTAAAGATAACAATTAGCGGCTCTGGTATTAATAAATCTTTAAGACGTTTCAAAACTGGTAGCTTCATGGGATTTTGATTTTAATCAGGCGCACAATTAGGGGACCATAGTGTGGGTCCTAGAGCTACCGACTGCGTCATTAGTCGTCGCTTCAAAAATACATAGCCACGAACATTAGCCAGTCTGATACCTTGTATCATAGCGGTATATTCTTTGGAAATTTAAAATAATGGCATTAGAAACGGTGCCAAAAGACCTTCGCCACCTCCGGGCCTGTCTGCTGTGTTCTCTTGTGAAGGTGAACCCAGTAAAGACCCATTTAGCGTCTATGCTAACTGTTAGCTTCCCTGTCGCATTTGTTTTTGTATTTGTAATTTACCTCTGCTTAATTTGTATCGTGTGTGTGCGTCTGCGCGTGTTTTCCCGTCTTCAGACCATCGACCAGTTTGAATATGACGGTTGTGACAATTGTGAGTCATACCTCCAGATGAAGGGCAACAGAGAAATGGTTTATGAATGCACAAGTTCTTCGTTTGACGGGTAAACAATCTCAACAACCAACACGCTGCAACACTTGGACAGCACTTTGGTGCGCGGGACAACTAAAAATGATTAATTGTGGACTTGTTGTGATGTTAATTTCCCAGGGTAGTAGCCATGATGAGTCCTGAAGACAGCTGGGTGGCTAAATGGCAGAGAATAGGTAAAACTAGGGCTACAAGTGTTATAAACACTTCCTTCGTTTCCACTGAAATGTCTGATTTCCTGTTAACCCAGTCACTACTACAATTGTAAGCAGACGGTTGCGTCTAAAAGAAAATAACCTTTTTAGTCCATCAAAAAAGTCTGAATTGCCTGTGGATTGCTACAAGCTACAGTTCTGGTAACGTGTGAGAAATTGTCACCCCAAACCTTTTTTACTGATGCGAATAAACATAGATATGTTTATTCAAGATAATATTATGTTGGATAATATGATACTCTACAGTCACATTTGTGCACACTGTAGAGTATCATATTTGAAAACAAACATTCCACTTCATATATGGCCTTTAAAAATACAAAAACACATTATAAATACTTCTTCTGACCAAGCAGCTTCTCTCATTTCAGAGTTCTGAAAGGTATTTAGTGAAACTGCGTAAAATAAAGATGAATCCGTGTTGACGTTAGCTCCTCTTTGCTTAAACGTCAGCTAGTTGTAAGGATTAGTTAAACCCTTCACATTGCACATCTTGGAATAAAAAAAAATTCCCCTCCCAAAATAACCAACTCCACCCGTTTTTATTTGCTGAACGCGGTCTACGGGTTTTGGTCGTTTCACCATAGTAGTTATTCACATGATGTGTTTGCTGTTTGTTTCTGATGTATTTGCTGGAGACCAATTTAAACATTGCCTAAATGTCAAAGACGTTTATTTGTTCGTACTCTGGATTTATGAGCAGACTTGCAGAAATTGCTTTAAAAAAAAACAACAAAAAACAAAGATAAATATTAGTCACCTGGACTTTTCTTCTGGCTGTAACAGTCTTAACAGCAGTTTCCTCACATATGAAATTTCTGTCCAATAAAACCATTGCAGCTTAATTTTCGACGCGTAAAACGAGTTCAAATAACATTTGTTTCTTCCACAGGTAACTGCAAGCCGGGTGTATACGCAGTGTCGGTGACAGGCAGGCTACCTCCAGGTACTGAACCTACACACTCAGTAGAAACGTTTTTATCTGTGTTATAATTGTCGCCTGCCCATAATGCGACAAAATCCTGACATAATTCAGCGCGTCTGTTAAGGGGCAGAAGGAATATCTTATTTTACCTCCTTTTTAAAGAGCCAATCTGACACTGCAAGGCAATCAGACCCACCATACTGCTTACCGACAATTCAGAAAATACTGTGCAAAAAAAAAAAAAAGAAAAATGTTAGATGATTTTGCTGTTTAGCGTTTTATTGCTAAGCCTTCTTGCCTTTGGTGTTGCTAATGATTTTCTCCCTTTTCCAAGGTGTGGTGAGAGAGCTGAAAAGCAGAGGAGTGATGTACAAATCTAGAGACACGGCAGTGAAAACATAACCTGTTCAGTTTCCTGCTTTCTTGTCTTTGTGCAACAACACATTTAGTCATACACATCTTTTTGATTCTGGATCTTTTTGTCATGACAAACAAAAATAAAGGTCTGTTTTTTACTCTAACCGTAACGACTGTCTGGTCTGTGCATGTTCTGGCACTGAAACCGGTCGATGAGGTCAGGCAGCAGGTGGTCGCCGCTCTTCTTCTCCGGCGCTCAGGCTTTTGTTTTGGACCGGTGAAGAGCCGGCCTGCAAGCTGGAGGAGGCGCCGCCTGCCAGAAGCGGGCTAAAAATAGCTGGTTTCTGTGTGTGGACCAAAGTCAGACAGACTGCAGGATGACTCAGCAACAAACCACAGCCGAGGAAAGACGCAGAGCAGTGGAGTCACTGGAAAGAATAACTGCTGTCGTGTTCGTTTATTGATGAAAGCGATGCGGCCCTGGTCAGTGGAAACTATGGTGACCGAATGGCTGCTGAGTCGCTTAGATTTTGGAAAGTCCCCCGTTTCTTGTGATGAGGAAAAAAAAAAAAAACTAGATCAGGACTGGCCTCATTTTCTGAGTTACCGTAATGTATTGTTAGCTCTGCCTCTGGATTGGGCTAGTTTTATGCAAAAACACTCTAGACTAGATTTTTTTTTTTAACAAAGTGAATTCAGCATCTTTATGAAGTTTGTCCCTCGTATGAAGTGTTCAAAAATTTTCAGGCAGATTAAAATGACTTTAATGTGACTCAAGACTTTGCTGCCATTGAGCAACGGTCCAGTCCTTTTCCTCCTCACCTAGATGAGATGTTTCTAATACCTGCGGCGTGTGAATGGTTTAAAAATGGACACCTTTTTCGTTCCGCTCAAATTTCAATTTGTATGTTTGGCTAAACCTCGGATAGCCCTCTCCTAGAGGATACCAGCTGAAAGCCATAACAATCAAAATAAACAAATATAATGCATGAGTTTCATTTTTCAAATTGAGTTAATGAAGCAAATTAAATTTTCAATAATGTTCAGATGTTTTCCTGCATGCAAGATAGACTGAAATCGACTAACCAGTGACTGGTCTGGACAGTCACTGGGTGGATGTTGCACAAACATCCTTGTTCTTATTCATCTGGGCCACAAGATGTCGCCTCCTACTGAGTTTCTCTTGTTGGTAGGACACGTGCCTCCTGTCTGCTCCGAGTCTCCTTCCTGGTGTCCATCACCCAAAAAAAAAAAAAAAAAGCCCCGGGTCAACCAGAAGGGATCTTTCGGTTTTAGTTACTGCCGTGGCTACAGTTTCACACAAAAAAGAATAACGTCTCAGGTTGCTCGGCTGTTATTTTGTCATCTGTTGCGTGACACAGGAAGAAGCCCTGTTTACATCCCGAAGGGCCGCAGCTTGTCTGATTTCACTTTTTATGATTTTACTGATGCGTCAAAGTCACACACACTGAGGACTTTCTGCATCTGTTAAAGTGGGCAGTTGCTTATTGCTGCTGCGGTGCTGATGTGATGTTTTATTATTAAGTCCTAAGTGAAAGTCTGGACTTAATCCACAAACTTGCAACTTACCCAAGCTGAAAACATAGGAGACCTAATTTCAAACTCTGCTAAATAACTTTATTTTATTTCATAAAGGCACACATTTGATGATGGACAGTTGTGCCAGTTCCTTTTACTTTAATGAAAGACCACAAAGGACAGCGAATAGGAAGACGGAATGATGTGCAAACCCTACAGCTGAGAATAAGGAAACCAGTCCTTTCTCTTTTCTGTAGCGGTTGGAGGAGTCTGCACTGGGTTTTTA